ATCGATTACGGGACAGTTATGCTTAGACAGGGGTATTCTTTTTGATTTAATCAAATTAAAAGTTTAAAACGCTGATTTTGAATAGAATTCAATTTTTATTCGTTATGGTAATTTTTTGTCTTTCCTTGCTGTTGAGGACAAAAAAAGATAATTTCTCTTATTTTATTTATGATGGCTTCTTTCATCAATATTTTCTGTTTTTTAATGATTTGTCCGTGTTTATTATTTAAATTGGGTTTAAACTGGAATAAAAATTAATGTAATTTAAGAATTTCTATGAATTAATTTCAGAAGACCTCAACATAAAAACTCAGTCAGTGTTATTTATAAGGCAGATATTACTGGTACTGCACGAATTGTATTGGATGAAAAAGTAATGAAATTACAGGTGAAAAAATTTTCATTTATGTACATTAAGCTTTCCCGACTCAGTTCATAATTGAATTTTCAACTTAATTTATCGATAAAGTCCACCTTTTCACTTGTTTTCAAGTACGGTAGTATAGAAATAGATACAAAGATTACTTTAAGGAAATTGAAGTTTTTCTTCTAAACAAATTAGAATATTATTTTTGTAAAAAAAGAAAAACTTTCCAAAAATGCCATAGCAACATATTTATAATTTCATGTGATTATTTGCGATTCTCCATATTATTCCATAAGGTTTCTTCCATTTTTGGATTGCTAATCCGGATTGAATAGATGATATGATTCACTTAGCAACAGAGCAATTCATTCGACAAATATCTTGTTTGAGTAGTTTACCAGAAAAAAATTCAAAATTTTTTAAAAATTCCCGAATAGCAATGAAAATACTATGTAAGCAGAGTTTATCTGATGAAACGGTGCATAAGTAAGTCATACTTTATTGATATTGGTAGGTTATTACTTCTTCTCATCATTATAGTACTAACTATATCACTTTAAATAGAGGAGACATTTATATACAAATATTATCCAGTTAGATTTCTCGAAAGAAAGAACGAAAACTTGATAGCAAACGACATGAAAGTAGATTAATAAGTTTAATTGCCACTTTTAATTTTTATTAACGTATTTTAGTTTTACATCGATCTTTAACTCCTCTTTTGCCTTTTTCTGTTTGAAAAAAGCAATTTACATTTCTTCAAGCACTTGTTTTTCTATTTAAGAATAGCACTTTTCAATTTTTGACGCCGGCGTTTTAGAAGTACAATGGGTATGATTTATTGCGATAAGTATGGCTTTGGTTTTGATGCTGACTTACATCAGAGTGAGACGAATTTAACTTTTCTTCTAAATCTATCTAGATATGATGATATAGTTACAGTTAGAATCGTATTCCACATTAATTATTAAGCGCATCTATCTATTTAGTGCAAAATCTTGCAGTAGGTTTGACTGTTAACTAAAAGAGCCGTAAAGAGTTTTCTCAAAAGAACTTTATGACATTATTTGTCCAACAATTTTTTTTCTAATAGCGCTGCTTCATTTGTGCTGTTTCAATTTAGTAATTTGAATGCTTACAAACATCATATTATTTGTCCAACAATTTTTTTCTGATAGCGTTGCTTTAATTTAGCAGTTCAAAGGTCACAAACAACATTCCTTATTTCTCAAGGTTCCCAAAAAATGTATTCCATCATATGTCTGCCTATAAATGTTTCAAAATTCTATATTTACATTTAGAATTTGGAATTTAATTCAACCGATCAAAAGTATTCTGGAAAAAAATATTTGTATATTCACAACCTTTATGACTTTAAGCATCAGTGACACATAATTATTTTTTGATTGTCCAAATTTTTAACCAACGTTCACACACCAATTAAGTTTTGAAATGATAATATCATATATCAAAACGACATTACTATAATAAATCATTTTAGGGTGTATTAAATAATAAAAATGACAGATGCTTTTCATTACGTGGTTGTGTTGTTCTAGACGAAAAACAACAATCAGCAGCAATTGTATCGACGAATTTTGATATATTAGATATTGAAACTAATCAAAGCTTTAAAGTTTCTTTTCCATTTTTTCTTAAACTGAAATTCCTTATTATATCTGACTTTTTGAATATTTTAAAAGAATAGGATATTAATAATTATTATTGTTAGCCGCATAATACGGTATGATGTTTAATGGGAATTATATTTGTAATATAGATGATGTGTTATACAACATGATTTTTAGATTGATAATGTAATCGTCAAATTAGATATTGATCCGGAAACAACACATCGTAGCATGATTCTGGAGCATCCATCACTGAAATTTGTCTCCAAAAGATGGTGCCATGGATATAGGTAAATGCTTATTTCTTTTTCATTTTTATAAAATTTTATATCCATACTTTTATGAAATCATTTTGGTAATGTTTGGAAGATGAAAAATAACGAAATGAAATAATTAACGCATAAAAGTCATGGAAGGAGAAACGATGAGGAGATTTTATGATTTCTTGTTTATTTAATTACTCTTCTAGTTAATATAACTTTTGTATTGTTTAGGGCAGATTTAGAAATTCATGAACATATAAATCCACAAATGGTTGGCTATGGTTGTGATCTTTTTGTCGGTGATATGACAATTAGTGCCATAAGTACACCAGGTTTTGTACCGTTAAAACGACGTACAAGCTTAGTGGATGGTAATATCATAGAATCATCGAATGATTTTCTGGCCTAAATGTTCGGTGTAGGAATGTAAATAAGCAATTATGTATTGGCATTTCATTTAATGTATTTTATCTGTTATCATTGGCAAAAAATGCTTCCATGTATATATCATTTCATGCGTATGTTTTAATTTTATTAAAACTAACCGAATAGTATATTCTAAATATTAAAATGTGAAAATTGAGAAAAAAAATTTATTTGAAATGATATTTACGATCTAAACGGCAATATTTATTATTATTTTCTTATATTTCTTTATCAATTTTTTATTTTTCTCATTATCATTTTCTCTATTCTTTTTCTAAAGCATATTGTTATATTTTTCAAATGTTTCAACTGGAAATGATGACAGTTTTCCATTGTTTACATTATCAATTTCTTTTCTTAAAGTGCCCGTGCATTGTTATACCCAAAATTTTATCAATGATTAATTCGCTTTCTTTTTTATTCTTTAATCTGTTCAATTTTACAACTTTTTTTACAAATGTGATAGATTATTAATGCTACTATGATATATAATCTAT